GGATGATGAGTAGTTGTGGGGACTGAATGACCTAAAGCCTGGGAAGGCTTGGCTCGCACCTGGAGTGCAGTAGGTGCCCTATAAATGCAGCTGGCCCGTCCATCCTCAGGACTCAAGGTCTCCTGCTTCAGTTCAGCCTGTCTCATCTTTATGGCATATGAAGAATGTGAACCAGCGGGGATGACGGTAGCAAGGTGATGGTAGCAGTGGTGGGTTCAGAGCAGCTGAGGCCTGTGCAGGTCATTGTGGCGCTAACCATTTCACAGGCAGGATGCTGACACACGTAGTCAGCTCTGCCACGTGTAGAGCCTACACTGTTTGTGTTTTGTTGTCTTCTTTGTTCTGACTTCCACCCCTGTGAGGGTGCCCAGAGCTGAGGCAGGACACAAGGAACAGAAAGCTAGTGGGTACTTAAGTCTGGAAGTTTACCCTAATCTCAATTATCTTCCAATTCTTCTTACTTCTACTATGGCCCCTTGTCCCAATGATTGCCTGGGATGATGGTCTTTGAAGGCTCCTCCAACCACTGGGGCAAGGGCAGGAATCCCTAGCAAAACTGCCCTTCCCTCTGCAGATCAGAGCCTTAGTAGGCATCTGTGTTCCTCCTTCCCTCACTGCCCTGTGCACAGAGCTTCTCCACAATTAAGTTTCAACACAGGCTGAAGAACTGCAGCAGGGGATGCAGAGTTGGGGGGAGGGAGGGGGTGAGATTGCATCTTCAGATGCAAGGACACCCAGTCCCCCGCTCAGAGTGTGGAGAAAGGCCCTGGTGGCTCCTGGGAACACAGCCAGTGCCTCCGGGAGTGCCAAACACAGAGGCAGAACATGGAATTTGTTATGGGCTCTGTGTGAAGCTGGCTATTTGACCTATCTGGACTCCAGGTTCTGTATGGTCAGATAGGAACAGCACCTTTCCCCTACAATGATCAAACCAACCTGAAGCTGGGAGACACCTATGTCTAATCCCTGTGTTCTTACAGTGGCTTTAAAAACAGTGACAACCTTATTTGACATATATTTGTATATACTTAAATTGTACGGTGAGTTTTCCCAAGTGATAAGTATTGGATCTCTGGATATTGGGTATCCTCCACTGATGTAGTAAGCCAAATCAAACTGAATTAATAACACCAGATTTAATAAACAGAGCAGAGCAAAGCAGAGCACTCCCAGGTGACTCTCGGAAAGGCAGGAGAGGAATCAGGTGGCAGGTCTCGAGGCCAGTTCTTAAATACCCTGTAGGTGTGGTCTTGATCAGCTCTGGGAGTGGAGCTGACACTGGTGGGCTTTCTGAGGGGCAGGGTCTGGAATGGGATAGGTGAAACCTGACAGTGGAGTGGAGATTCCCAGCACCAAGCTTCCTGTTTTAGGGAGGGAAATCTGCATGGCCTTTTTGGAGAAGCACAGAAGAATACATGTTTGAATAGTCTTGTAAAGAAGGGTGTGTGGATCATGGGCAAAGTTCTCCCAACATTCTTAGCAACTAGAAGTAAGGCTATTCACAAGAAACTATCTTTTGATATGATGTGGGCTTCTTTTTTAAAATGAGGATTTATTTACTAATCTCACTCATGTGTTTGTGTCTGAGTCTATGAGCACTGTACAAATGAAGGAGCCCATGGAGGCCAATAAAGGGGGGGTCAGACTCTCTAAAACTAGGATTACAGAAGAACCAGTGTGTTTGGCAAGAGAGGTAAGTGCTCTATCTGTTCTCTATCTCTCTCTGCCTCTCTCTCTCTATATATATATATGTATATGTATATATATATATATATAAAATCTTGCTCTCTCACTCTCTCACTGTCTCTGTTTTATGAGATAGTTCTCTTTATTTAGTCCTGACTGGACCTCACAGAGATCTTGCTGCCTCTACCTCTGAGTGCTGGGATTAAAGGTGTGCATCACCATGCCCGACCCCAGTAGGCTCTTTTAACTGCTGAGCCATCTCTTAAGTCCCCCGGATTTTCTGGCTTATAATGGAGAGTTTAGGAGGAGGACACATAGGGGTGTGGGAAGTAGGGCCAGGGAACCAGAGGACACAGGTCACCAAAGAAAGGACTCTGGAGACAATCCAGTTCGAATCTCTTCCATTTCTTCTACCAGTTTAACAATTAATTAACCAGTCTATCTAACCAACTAGAGACAGAGTCTCGCCTTGTAGCCAAGATGGTGTCAAACTCACTACCACATTACAGGTGCTGCAATTACAGACCTGGTTATTTTCACCATTTTGAAGGGGGGGATGCAATGGTGAGAACTGACTTGTCAAAAATCATCTGGCTAGTATGAGGTAGATCTGGGACAATGTTTTTATAAGTGATGCAAAAAGATGCTAATGCAACCAGGTGTGGTAGCGCACACCTGTGATCCCTGCACTTGGAAAGCTGACGTGGGAAGGTCTTGAGTTTAAAGCCAGCCTGAACCACATGGGAAGACTCTGTCTGAACAACAGCAACCACAACCAATAGACCCACAGTAACTCAGTTAACATGGCATTCACATCGAAGTGGACTCAGACAAACAGAATGAAGCAGGGAAGTCAGGAAGAAACCTGTAGCCCATGCACACCTGTTAGAGAATGGAATGTCGTCCTTAACAAACAGTGCTGGGAAGCTGGGTGCCCATATGTAGAAGACTGAGAGTAGAACCCTTCCTCTCACTCTACAGGAACCCAGCTCAAAATAGATTACAGGTCTTAATGGAAGCCGGGAAGCTTTGACCACCAGAGTGAACACAAGGAAAGTGGGCAGGCTGGCACCATCTGACATTTCAGCATTTGAGTTGAAGGAAGGAGGATCAGGAATTCAAAGTCAGCTTCTTCTGTACAGAAAGCGTGGGCTACATGGGGCCCAATCCCCCAAGAGTGCCAGTGACTACTTTCCTATAGAGAAAGCAGGGTCTTTAGACCACAAAAGCATTGCTGTAAGGGTCATGATGAGGAGAGAGGATCCCTCTTCTAGGCTTCTGTTTCTCAGAGGTGAAAAATAACCAACTGCTGGGAATTTCGTAAAACTTCAAAAATTGTTCTTATAAAAAACAGCTGTTTTTATTTATCATCTATTCTGACATTACAGAATGATAGTCCTAATTATTCTGCAGTGGCTATTCATTTGCTTTTTTTTTTTTAAGTTTAAGCCATTAGAAGAACATAGTATCTTAACACTATGATTTGTTAGATAAGTCCCCAACCAAAGCCTGGCTTTCCAGGCATAATAAGTACTTCAGCACCGCGGACAGCAACCCTCTGCGTGGCTCTGGGGCTGTGTGCGAGCCTAGGACCCCTGCATCCCTGCGCCACATTCTTCTAAGTAACCTGCATGGTGACCTGGGAGCTTACATGTCAAAGCACAATCCCACCCACATCGCCCTCCTGCGGACCCCTGAGGAGCCCCACAGAGGACTCTGATTGGCCGCAGAAGCCCCTAATCTACCTATATTACCCTAGAGGACACTGTGCAAAGCTATAGGCATTCTGACTGGGAAGCCAGGGAGTAAGCAGGGTGGAGGAGTGATCCCTGCAGTCTCTGAGCTTTCCCAGGTTTCTCTCTTCTTGATGGCCTGCCTGCTATGTTCATTATCCTCAGGGTCCACGGTTTGGGAAACATGACATTTACGTGGTGCTTACGTCTGCCACCCCCACCCAGGCTGAGGAGACCATCGTCCACCTGCTGAGGAGACCTTTATTAGAAGAAAGCAAACATTTAACAAAGAAAGAAAGCAAACCCTTCATTGGAGGCCCCCAGGGCTGTTTGCAGAGGCTTATGGGAGGATATCTAACGAAACCACCTCGCACAGTCCTTGGTACACACCTCACAGATAAAGCCTCATTGCCAGGCAACAGAGTTTTTCCACCCAGAGCCCTGATAAGGGGCTTGGGGGGACTGCGTGTTTGGAAAATATGATTTTGTAAGCGGGGGCCGGCGTGTGTTGATTCTGCCTACTGCCAGAGCCTACTGCCAGATAAGCATCTGCCACATTCCCTGGGGGTATTGACAGGGTTGTTTCTCTCAGGACCTCTGACAGAGCCTGTCAGCATGAAGACACCCCGAGCCACAGTCAGAGAGAGGCCCAGCATCACCTAGCATCGGATGCTACTCAAGGGGCTTCATTGGCTACCAAGGGCAGCTGGCAGGATGAGGGTAGAAGGTGTCGGGACAGCAGAAACTGGCTACATCCGATGTAATAACACAGCCCATGGTGCCTTCTGCTGCCACTCACTGTCCTGATGACTTCCTCTCCCTCAGACTGAAAGCCAAAGTCCACACAGAGGTCCCATGACCCTTGCTCAACACTGTCTCCCTCTGCCACCAAACGCTGGGCTCTCTCCCTCCTACTCACATTAGCTTCATTTTCTCCTCTAACTCATGCCTTCTGGGTATATGGCGGCCCCTGGGCCTTTGCACGAGTTGTCCGTTCTCCCTAGAATGTTCTTCCATGTGTTATAAGCCTCTCTCTCTCGGTTCCTCTGAGTCTGTGTGAAGTCTCTGGCTGTGAGTGAAGGGGCTTTCAGCACTATGAAAGCAGTGAGCACTAACCACTATCAAATAACAAATAAATACACACAGTGACAGAATGTGAGACACAAAACTGGTTTGCTGCAAAAAGAGGCCTCACTCAGGCAGGGGTCAGGGGGCTTTAGTGGGACCCCCTGGATATTTCGGGGAGTTCTGAAAGTGAGCGTGCCTTCAGCCAGTGAATCAAAAGCACCTAAGTAGAGGAAAACTCAGCAGCCTGGAGTGAATAGGGGAGGAACGTGAGGTTCAGAGCCGGGAGTGGCACACCATGGACACACAGCAATCGGCAGGTGGAGGGAGGCTCAGGTGGGTCCTCTTCTGAAGCTGGGTGCTCTTTACCCAGCTAGGAGCAGGGTGGAGGAAGCCTGAGGTGAGGGTGGAGGTGGGGCGGGACCGAAGGTGGAGAAAGGGCGCAGGGGGCGGTCCTATGATGTAATTTCCTGGGTGTGTGCTTGTGCGTGTGCGTGTATGTGTGTGTGAGAGAGAGAGAGTGTGTGTGTGTATATATAAAAGAGGGCATAGCGTTGCTGCTGCTACTGCTGCTGCCACCGCCGCCTCCCCCACCGCCGCTACCAGTGATCCTCCTGGGGAAAGAGCTCGAGAGGACACACCATACACCCAATCCTGCCATCCTCCTGCCGCAGTTCGTCCACCCTTCGCGCACCACCCAGCTCGCCATGCGCTCCGCTGCGGTTCTGGCGCTTCTGCTGTGCGCTGGGCAAGGTAAGCGGCTTTGGGCTCGGCAGCGGGTCCCCTCTCCTGCCCCAGGTCCCTTTCGGCGCCCGAGGATTCAGCACCACGGACAGCATCCAGGTCTCTGGTTAGCGTCTCTCACCACACCCGGAGGGACTGTGGAGCCTGACCTCACGGGGCAGCTCCCCCCATCCCCGCAACGCATCACCCACCGGCTCCAGGCTCTGCACCGACCAAGGTCACTGGGGGAGATGGGGACTCCTGCTAGTTCCCCAACTCCTCTCCCCTTGATCTCTTCCCTCACCCCACCTCTTTGCCACCACCTTTGGGGTTTCTCCCCTACCCCAGTCCCACTACGCGGCTGGTCTTGTTCACACTGTACTTGATTTCAGCTCTGTAAGCACCCTCCTCCCGTGGCGAATGGTTGAGGCTCTTCAGTGCAGCCTCTGAGGGCCACCCCCTGGGGCAGCAGGGAGGAGAAGCAGGAATCAGTGCTGGGGATTTATTTGGGTTTGGGATGGGGATCAATTTGAGGGAGAACATTGGGAGAGTGAGTGTCCCCACCCCCGGAGGGAAGAACCAGGCTTTCCCGGGTGCAGAGAAATAACCCCAGTGAGCAGTCTCTCTAACTCTCTGTCTCTCTGTCTCCCTTTTCCCAGTCTTTGCCCTCCCTGTGAACAGCCCCATGACAAAAGGGGACACTAAGGTAAGAAGGAATGTTGGGGTACCTTGGGAGAGGAAGGATGCCCTATGGGCACCTCCTGGCCGGTTCTTGGGCAGCTGCAGGAGCGAGTCTGGCGTAGAGCCAAAGCCGGCACTGCAGCAGCTGAGCTGGGGACAGCTTATACAAGAAGACATCAAAGATCTCTTTCTTCCCCTGCTGTCCAGCTGCAGTGACTTCCCTAGGGGCCCATGTCTCACCTGCTGGGACCTAGAACCAGAGACACTAGTCTGAGCCAAGACCATAGCTTCTCCTGTCCTAGGTGTCCACAGACCTGCCTGGCTCTGCCCTCCCCTTGAAACTCCCCTTAGCCTTCCCACTCTGTCTCCCCGCTCCCGCCTCTGCCTCCCGCCTCTGCCCAGGGCTACCAGTGAGAAACAAGCCATACCAAATCCTCGGACTCTGTTCCCATCAGAACCAGGGCTGTTCCCCCAGGATCTGGATGCCTCCACCAGAGAGTTCTGTTCTCCCTATTCTGAGGGCTGTCTTCTGTGAGAGGACACAGTTAAAAACCAAAGGCATCAAAGAGCTCAGCATGCATTTGTTCAATTGTATTTTCTTATTTATGTGTTGTCAGCTGCATACAGGCTAGCATTTAACTTTTCACCACTCATTCTAGCTGTGCAACCTTGGAAAATCCAACTTCTCTAAGTGTCTCTTTATCCTTTATGAAGAAAGATTAGGATTCATGGGTGACGCCACAGGCACCTAGAAGGTCCTTGGTGAATTTCCTAGAGACTTCCTTTCTCTATCTCCCCATCATTCTTTGTTCTTCCTTCTTTCTTCCTTCCTTCCTTCCTTCCTTCCTTCCTTCCTTCCTTTTGACAGGGTCTCTCTATGTAGCCCTGACTGTCCTGGAACTCATTATGTAGACCAGGCTGTCCTCAAACTGAGAGAGAGCCACTTGCCTCTGTTTCCCGAGGACTGGGATCAAAGATATGCATCACAATGCCCAGCTTTCCAGTATTTGGGGGGGGGTTCGAAGCAGGGTTTCTCTGTGGCTTTGGAGGCTGTCCTGGAACTAGCTCTTGTAGACCAGGCTGGTCTCAAACTCACAGAGATCTGTCTGCCTCTGCCTCCTGGGTGCTGGGATTAAAGGCGTGTGCCACCCCACCCAGCTGCTTTCCAGTGTTCTTGAGACCCCCACCCAACTCCTGTCTCCTGGCGTCTGCCCTCAAAGGCTGGTGACTGCTGGTACTCTCCATGCAAAGTCTGGTGTTGGGGAGAAAGGACACATGCTTCTAGGAGCTGCTGGCCAGATCTGCTCCCACCATCATAGCTGGGGTCAGAGGTGCCAGTCGCTGGGGATGACATGCATGTTCCCTCAGAGGTTGTTATGACTACAGGCCCTGACAGACTTTGCCAGCTTGCTCTCTTGGAGCCAGGGGTTGGATTTCTCCACATCCCATAAACACAGCCTCCTCCGCCTCCCTGCCAGCATTGCCTGATGCATGTCTAGCACCTCCTGCCCCTCCACCCAGCTGCAGGCTGTGGAAAGAGATCCATCCGATGCTGTGACTCCCTCCCTGAGCGTGTGGCACTTCACACTGACTGAAGTGTTTTCCACTGGGTGGGGATTCTCATCCCTGTTTTATGTATGAGGAAACCAAGGCTCAGAGAGTCTAAGTCACTTGCTCAAGATCGCACAGCTAGCACACCACAAACGAACACTGTCTTCAAAGACCAGCTACCAGCCAGGTGCTTCCCTACCGACTGCACCTCACTGGACTAGACAAAACACTCAGAGATGTGTCGTGGTCTGCAATGAGCGTTGAGATGTATCTCACATCCAGTCGGGGGTGCTTCTCATGGAACAATGTGGAGCCCCCCGGATGTGGTTCAGAATGGGAGGTGGCCTTATTTCTGGCAAGTTCAAGCCCAGATGGGTTTGTGTTCTTGACTGGACAGTCTGGAGGACATCTTGTCTGAGCTGATCCTTTCGAATCTGCTGGATCCCAAGAGGTCCTCTTAGGTCTCAGAGTCAGAACCATCCTTAGAGAACTACCCAAAGAGTAAGAAAATGACAAACACACACTCCCACCCCTCCTTCGGCAGTGGTCCCCTTGAGGCACATGCTGGTATGCCCATGTGATTGGTTTGACCTATAGTGTGTGTCTGTGTGTGTGTGAGAGAGAGAGAAAGAGAGAGAGAGAGAGAGAGAGAGAGAGAGAGAGAGAGAGAGAGAGAGAGAGAGAGAGAGAGAGAGAGAGTTCTGTTTCTATGGCTCTAGTTAAGGAAGCAGAGGTTGGCCCCAGGCTTCTTGCAGACAACATAAATGCTCTTCTACCCTCCTGGGAAAGTTGCCCTGGCACCTTGGGGGCTGAGTTCCATGTTCATAGCAGCCACTGCCTGCCTTGCTGTCTCCCAGGTGATGAAGTGTGTCGTGGAGGTCATCTCTGACTCGCTGTCCAAACCTAGCCCCATGCCTGTCAGCCCCGAGTGTCTGGAGACCCTCCAAGGAGGTAGGAGCCAGAGGCTGGAGGGACTGGGAGGCTAGGATGCGGGTGGGTGGTGGCTCTCGGCGTCTCATCCAGAAGTCATTGCCCCAGTGCCCCGATCTGTGCTGGAATCCGGGGCGCACACATGAAGCGGTGACAGCTCCTGGGATTGATCCTGAGGCATGTAGACTCTCAGAGGGGTCATATGGCAGTTAACCAGAAGCCTGGCAGAATGAAGGGACTGGAACAGCAGGCTGCAGACTGGGTACCCTGTGGGCCAGGGTTCAGTGTGTTGCATTCCCAGCTGACATCAGTAGCCATTCTCTGGATCTGGGACCAATCAGAGGGTGTTAAGAGGGTGTGTGAAGGACCACATCTTTCCATGCCGACAGTCCAGCACATGACAGCACTGGTGATGGACAGGTAGGATGAGGAAGGATGTCAGGAGGAACAGACAGGGCTGGCTGCGTGGAGCCGGGAAGTATCTACACACTCACTGAGCCTGAGGCCCACAGCCCCCTCCTTGGGGGCTGGGCACAGAGTCAGCAGTTGACCTTTCTACTGCAGTGGGGAGGTGATTGGCATCTTGGAAATGAGGAATTTCCAAAGTGTTCTACCAAGACACAGGCTTGCCACTGCCTTCCAGTGCTGTTTCCAGAATAAATGCCTGAGCTCAGCTGAAAATGTCCACACTAACCTCTCCCGGGGCTGTCCCATGGAAGCCACCTGTAACTGTGCTCTCTCCCTGCAGATGAGAGGGTACTCTCCATCCTGCGACACCAGAATTTGCTGAAGGAACTCCAAGACCTGGCACTCCAAGGTATTTCAGCACCGCACACAGTTATGGGGTGGGGGGGCCAGCAACAGAGCAGGAGAGAACCAGGTGGAGGCTGAGCATACCCAGGTGCTGTTTCAGAGCAGAAAGGTGCGGTCCGTCATGCCACTTCGCTCCATTGTCAAGACTGCTCAGAGAGGCTGAGTGATTTTCCCAAGGTCACACAGTGAATAGACCTTGTTAAGACCATAAACCATTCTGGGGACACTCCTCAGCCTCTGGGAGTGCAGTCCTCAGAGAGGCCATAGGATTCCTCTCTGCAGACCCAGAAGTGAACACACACAGAGAAGGTTCTTGCTTCATGGACTCTTGACTCCATGGATGACGGGAGGCAACGTCTCGCTTGTCCCTACACACAGACCAGACTTACAGCGTGTCTTGGACTGGGAGGTGACTTTTCCCAAGAGACTAAGAAAATCCAGGCGCCTTTCAGATGGAGGTTTGAGGCTGAGGTCTCACAGCACTGAGGGTATGCAAGCTGGTCAATGGGCCACCAAGGAGAGTTACGCTCTTGTCACATCACCACCCCCAGCTTCTTCATGGTTTGAGGGAGGGTAAAGCACCTCCCTGGAGACATGGAGGGCCTGGGTTCCAGCTCTGCTTCTGCCCTGGCTGCCTCCTCAGGAAAGTAGCCAAGCTTGTGAGGTAGGACCTCAGTGTCTCATGCATGAATCTGTCACCTTGGCCTAACTCAAACCAAAGCCACTCTAAGGCCTTTAGCGCAGTGCGAGCTGTGAGTGAAAATGGAGAGAGATTTGGGTGAAAAAATGAACAAAAATTAACCCTAGGGGTGGCTCATGCTTTCTAATCCCAGTACTCAGGAGGCAGGGGCAGGCAGATCTCTGTGAGTTTGAAGCCAGCCTGGTCCAGGACAGTCAGAACTGACCACACAGAGAAATCCTGTCTCAAAAACAAACAAACAAACAAACAACAGTAACCACCACCACAACGAAATAACCCTAGCAATCCCCCTTCCCTGAGGTAGCTTGGTCCTTTTCTCTCACTTGCTGGTCTGTCTTGGCAATAAACATCAACCTCCCATGTTTTGCTTTTCTGAGACAGGATCTCACGTAGTCCAGGCTGACTTGAAACTCACTGTGTAACCGAGAATGTTCTTGGACTTCACATCCTCCCATCCCCTCCCCCTTCCGAGTGCTAGGGTTCCAGGCGTGGGCTCCCACACTGTTTTATGGGAGCTGTAGATGTAACCTAGGGCTTCATGCATGCTAAGGAAACCCTCCACCAACTGAACAGCCCCAGCCCGGGAATCCACGCCTGGCATGCAGGGGATGGTGGCTGGTGCTGCGGTAGTTATTATCATTTTTGTCCCCTCTTTGTTTTTGTTTTGAAACAGGGTCTCTTTGTGTAGCTCACACTGCCCTTGGACGTGTAGTCCTTCCTCAGCCTTTGGAGCTGGGATTGCAAGCATGTGCCACCACACCCACCATGCCAGGTGCATGCACAAGACACTGCCCTACATGTGAAGCGTGGTCTCTTTCCTCAAGGGTAGCCAGGGTTGGAGCGGGGCTGCAGCTCAGGCAGTCCAGGTCTCCAGGGTGGTGCTTTTTAACAAACCATTAGATATTTTAATTATAATTTTAAAATTAAACATTGGATGGATATTCCATTTAAATAATTAAGTGGTCCAATAGAGACGGTTACAGAGAAATGTGCCCCACTCTACACATATCTAATAATAACGAGCATCTGGTACATATGGGGTTGTTTGCCATTTCGAGGGCACTGGGTGTATCTTCAGCCATCGTGGTCATCATTCCATCCCCGCTTGGGTTCTGGATAATACTCTTGCACGGAGACCTCGGCCTGAACATCTACCATGAGTCTGTTTATAAATGAGCACCTGAACCTTGGGGAATCCACGTTGTCCAAGGTCACAGTGCCACGGGCATGGCCAGGAGAGGCCTGGGACCCACTGGGGTTGAGTTGGGCAAACTTCCTACCTGCATTGACCCTGAAGCTAGAGCTGTGTCCTGATGCAGACACAGCTACAGGAGACTCAGGGTGGCACCAGCAGCAGCAGGGGCTATGTAGGCAAAAGGACTCTGGGCCATGGGGTAGGTACAGCCCCGGGCTCAAAGGTAGGCACAGTACCTACACTCTCTGGGTGCCAAACTTGGGGGTTACAGAACAGTGGGGCTCTTAATTAAAGAGGTTCTGAAGGTTTCTCAGTGCTCCTGGGGCCTTGGGGAACCTTCTCTTCCGTTTGTGCCCTTATTGCTCTCAATGGTACAAGAAGAGCTTTCTCTCCTTTCCCACTGAGTCGGAGGGGTGGTGTGGCCTGATGGGCTCACCTGTGTCCTCAGCTTCTGTCGGAGAACACAAACTGTTCATAGTGGTGAGGTAGGCCTACGGTGTCAGACAGACTTGTCAGGGCTTGGCCACATGGGACCTTCCCTGTCCCCTCCCACCAGGTGCCAAGGAGCGGGCCCAGCAGCAGCCAAAGCAGCAGGAGCAGCAGCAGCCACACAGCAGCTTCGAGGATGAGCTCTCGGAAGTGTTTGAGAGCCAGAGCCCAGAGGCCAAGCAAGGAGGTCAGTGTGGCCAACGGGGAGGAGTGGAGCCTGCAAGAAGAACAGTGGTCTCCAGGGGGCGCTGTTTCTTCAGAGCAGGAGGCAGCTTCTGTTCTCTTCCCTTGACATGGGGGAAACAGAGGCCTCCTCCCACAGGGTTCATACCATAACTGGGAATTTGAACCTGGCTCTGTCTTACCCAAAGCCCGACACCAGTCCCCTGCTCCAGAGGCAGCGGTAACCCTGGGCCAACCTCATGGTCCCAGCCAGAGTCCCCGTCTCTGGCTCCTGTCCTGGGAGCAGACCCCACCTTAGTTGAAGGTGCTGAAGGAGGGTCCAGAGGAGTGGGTTCCAAATACAAAATGACCTGGGTCGTCAGCCCTGAAGCTAAAGAGCAGTGTCACCCAGCCACCTACCCTGAAAGTGTGACAAACTGTAGAACTGGGATTTTTATATCCAAAGTGGACAGAAAGGCCAGTTCCCAGCAGCTGGCCCATGGTCATCTTCTGGACACACATACAGGTGTGTCAGGCACCCCCACATCAGCTGTCACCCTGGTGGCTGCTTGTCATGCTGCACAGACTCCCACATACTGCTCCCATGGGAACCAGTGTCTAGATCACTGTGGTGCCAAGAAGGGAATAGTGCAGTGTGTGTGTGTGTGTGTGTGTGTGTGTGTGTGTGTGTGTGTGTGTGTGTGTGCATGGCTGGAGGCTTTAGTGCAAAGAGACCCTGAACTTGGCATTTGGAGGCCTGAGCAAGGTGGGCCCAGAGTCCGACGGATGACAGTTGTCCCGCCTTTCTGACCTTCGTTTTGAGTTCTGTGGACTGAGCGGCCTGAAGCCCTGGTGACAGGTAGGCCCTGGTGGCGCTTTGTTCAGTAGCTGTCATTCTAGAAACAGGAGGGGTTTTTACTCTTAAAAGCCTGTCTTCAGGAAAATATCTCTCAGTAGAGGTTTGTAAGTGCTAAACCCACAGCACTCAAGACATGCAGGGATTGTCTCAAACACAGAGAGGTTAAGTGATTTGCCCAGATCACACAGCAGTCCAGGGCTGTCCTAGTTTACAGTTTAGGGCTCTATCTTCTGAGGACATTTTAAATTATAATTTTTATTTGGGGGTTCTATTCTTGCTTTCAAAATTATGTCCTGTTTTGAGAAGCAGAATTAAAGAAGCCCAATTCAGTTGCCCTCAGATCAAACTCCAAAATGAAATAAGAAATATGAAAGGGTGACCTCAACCCTTTTCCTAGGGTGGGCTTCCTGGAAGCCAAGACATCTGATCACAGACTCGAATTTAGCCTCAGGAGGCCCTAAAGACAGCTGGGTCCTCAGCTTGACTCTGGCCTTTTGTGTTCACAGATACCACAGCAGAAACTCCCCCTGAGGAAGCTGTGGAGAAGAGAGAGAATTCTGACGAGGTGCAACAGGGTGGCTCTGAGGGAACCACTGAGGGACCCAGGCCTCAGGCTGTTCCAGAGCCTGGGCAGAAGTCCTCTATGATGGGGAACAGTCAGGCCCCTGGGGTGGATGCAGCCATCAACACCCAGCCGCCGGCCAGCCTCCCCAACCAGGATGGTGTGGACTCCCAGGCCACAGGGGACAGCGAGAGAGGCCTGGGCACCCGGCAGCAAGCCGGAAAAGCCAAGCAAGAGGAAGAAGATGAGGTTAGAGGGAAGGCTGAACCTGAAGAAATCCCCACCACAGCATCCAGCTCCCAACCAGAATATGAGGCGATCCAGAAAGATGAGGGTATGTCTGGTGACAGGACCTCAACTGATGTGTCTGGGAGAGGGGTGGCCTTATGCCACCTCCATAACAACCCTGAAAGATGGCTCCACCATCCAGGGGAACATCAGGCTAGGAGAGCTTATATAATTTGCCCAAGGCTACACAGCTAATTGGTAATCAAAGCTACGATTCCAGCTCCAGTTTGTCTGACTCCCAAATGAAGCAATGATCACCCTTCTGCACCTGGGAGGGAGGAGGGGCTGCGGGGAGGTGCACGGAGAACACAGAGAAGACAGGGTGAGGGTCAGTGAGGGCTCTGCAGACTCACTTCCTCGAGGGTCCTGAAAAGCACAGAGTGACGATTTCTCTGTGCTCCGGGTGGGGCTGCTATGGAGGGACTGGCCAGATGCTCAGTGGTGAGCTTGGCCTTAGAGGTGGCTGCACAGAGGATCTTGGGGAGTGGCGGGGTCTGGGGTAAAAGCAGCCCTTCCTCACTCACTCCCTGTTGTCGCCACCCCCTGCTCCAGGCCAGTCGGAGTCTCGGGCAGTGGATGGAGATGGAGAGACCCGGGCTTCCGAAGCTCTGTCACCCGAGGGGGAGCTGGAGCCCTCTCAGCAGGAGGAAGACGGGGAAGACGTGATGGCGGGCCACCCCCAAGGTCTCTTCCCAGCTGGGAAGAGCCAGGAGCTGGAGCACAGGCAGGAGGAAGAGGAGCGGCTGTCCAGAGAGTGGGAGGACAAGCGATGGAGCCGGATGGACCAGCTGGCCAAGGAGCTGACAGCAGACAAGCGGCTGAGGGGCGAGGACGACCCTGACCGCTCCATGAAGCTCTCCTTCCGGGCCCGGGCCTATGGCTTCAGGGACCCCGGGCCTCAGCCACGCCGCGGCTGGAGGCCATCTTCCAGAGAAGACAGTGTGGAGGCCCGAGGCGACTTTGAGGAAAAGAAGGAGGAGGAAGGCAGCGCCAACCGTAAAGCAGAGGTTGGTATAAGTCAACCACACCAGCAGCCCCTCCCCCACCGAGAGGACACGGTTCCCTTAGCTGGAGCGGTACTCAGAAGGGCTTGGGATAGAGCTACTGGGCCAGGGGGACAGTGGGAATGGCCTGGGCTGGAGGCCTCAGACCTGCCCGAGGGACACGGAATGGGGACATGGCCTCTGCCGGTCTGTAAGCTGGACATGGGAGTGATGGGGGTGGGGCTTTGGATGGAGAGCTTGGCAGGACTGGCCTGGGGCCTCACAGGGCACCTGTAGCCCTGGGAACTGGGAAGGGAAGCTAAGGGAAGGTCTGGTTGGTGGCCATGTCCTCCTGGTCCCCAGGCAACACAATTGCATCTCCTCCTGGGTTCAGAGTCACATATGGCCCACAATGGCATAGCAGGGCAGGGCCAGCTGGACCTTGGCGAGCAGATAGGGAGGCAGGGAGGAGCCGGCAGACTTGGTTCCGCCTGGTCCTGGCTGTGTGGCCTTGGGCAGTCACTGGCCCTCTCGGAGTCTCATTAGTTCCCCCATTTGTGAAATGAGATATGGAGTCTCTCTAATTCACCTCCTTATCACCACAACACGGCCTTCAAAACTGCGATCTACGCAAGGCCACTTGGGCAGCTGCAAGGGCGGTTTGGGGACACAAAGGATGTGGCACAGGAGAGCTGGGCTTCTTGGCGGGCAGGAGGCCTCTTGAGCTGGAGGAGGTCTTGGTGGGACCTGGCTAAGCCAGTGCTTCAGAGGGAGTTGGGGTTCTATCGGGAGCCTGCTCTACCCACAGCCCCGACCTCAAGACTCTTTTCTGCCCACCCAGAAACCTTCTTAGGTCCTGCCCATCTGCCCCGGAGTAGGTTCTATTGACATCTGGGAGCAACAGGCCCCTCTTAGGAGTGGGCACTGGCAGAGAGCATCTGTCCTGGAGGTAGAGGGAGGGTGAAATGAACCACACTGTGTTCTTCGGCCCCAGCCCTGGTCCCAGAACAAGACAGGCAATTTTAAGAGCCCTACTACCCACCCATAAAGGTTTCTTACTCATGGACAAACAGAACTTGTGGTGAAGAAGCAGGTGCCCCAGGTGTCACAGACAGGAAACTTCAACAGCACAGAGCTCATACTCCATGGACTGCTCTAAAATAGAAGGATCTAGAATCCCTATTTCCAGGGTAGCCACTGTCAGTGTCCTGTGGACATTGCCTTGGCAGGGCAGTAAATTCCAGACTTGGGGGCTCAGAGGAGGGGTCTCCTGCTTCCCCGACTGTCCTGACTGGAGCATGGGATATCCAAGGGTCAGTACCCAATGTCATAGCCCAGCCCTGGGCAGGTCCATGGTGACAGTGCTATGACCATTGGCCCAGCAGCTTCAGAGGCTGTAGGAGACAGATCAAGCCAGACTGGCTGCACCCGGGAGCCAGCACTGGTATCCAGGCTGAGGTAACATCCTAAAAGGAACCATGTACCCTGAAGGAACAGGTTTCCACTGGCCCAGAGTCCCATAGATGGGGGTGCATAAGAGGTCATGAGGGCCTTGGTATAATAATCCCCAGAGCACCCCAGCATTGCTGGGTGGCATCATTGTGCCTGTGTTGTGGACGAATCCCCTGGGACTCAGACACTTGTCTGAGACTAGCTGCTAGCAAACAGCAGGGCCAGTCTGGCTGACTACGCGATTCCAACACGGTCCAGTCCCATGTGACCCTGTGTGTTCCCTTCTAGGACCAGGAGCTAGAGAGCCTGTCAGCCATCGAGGCAGAGCTGGAGAAGGTGGCTCATCAGCTGCAGGCATTGCGGCGGGGCTGAGGCACTGGCTGCTGGTGCCAGCCATGGCTCCAAGGCACCCTGAGACCCTGGTTCCATGGCTTCAACGCTGCTCCTAGTAGGGAGGCTGCCTCTAGCCGCCAGAGGCCTGGTTGCTGTCTTGTCCCCCACTCCCTCTGTTCTCAGCCTCTGCCCTGGACACTTCTGCAGGACAGCCCTGACTGTCAACACAGATTCCTTCTCTGAACACAGGCAGCTTTCTAGAAGTTTCTCTTCCACCTTATCCACGGGGCACGACTGCAATAACTTCTGAGCTTTGGGTGAAAGCCAAGAACTCCCGACTACAAGATATTCCAGATAAAATTTATTGAAGAAAGAATAAACGTGCTTTGGGCTCCTTCCTTTCCTTTGACTTTTTTCTTTCCTGTTCCGCTCAGAGTTGGGTAGAAGGACAGAGTAGGTTTCTATGCTGGGCTGTGTGTGTGTTTTGGGGGACTCCTTTCTGGACCATTTACTGGGCAAGTGACTTTGTATCACTGACCCTCGGTTTCGTCTATAGTTGGAGGTGCTGAACTGCCCAGAACGGGGTGTAGAGATGATCACCACCGTAGGGGGTGGAGGTGTCTATCACCCACTGCTCGCTTATCTTCTAGTCATGCCTGAGCTGGGCAGTTTCTGCACTGTCCCATAGCTACCTTGGTGCTGGGTGGAGGTTGACAGGCCCCAGGATAATGTCTTCCACTGGCCATAGGCACCAGTCAATGCTGGACTCCCCACCATGGCTTCTGTGCTGCTCAAGTCCACAGTGCCCATGACCACAGGCATGGGATCATGGGATGTCTGAGGTATGGGACAGTTTACTAGAAAATAATAGGTCTTAGTTACAGTTTTGAGAATAGGGAAACAGAGGCGGGGAAGATGAAACGGCGCATTGAAGTCACAGTAGAGCTGACACACCAGACTTTTAGGCATGGGACTTTTGTAGGTATTGCAATCGTGCCCGGCTGGGATGTGGTGCTGGACCCATGGGTGCTGGCTACTAGGGCCAATGATTCCGTCACTCATTGAACATTTGTATGCGGCCTGGTACACCTGCACATGAAACCTGGGATGAAAGCCTGGCTTTGGAAACCTGTTGTCTCGTGGGGCAATTCAGATCCTCCTACAGTCAACGCAGCCTCTGATTGTTGGGCTTGTGGGTGGCTCTGCGGCCCCCAGCTTCAGACTGGAAAGTTACCTCTTCATTGTCCCGGCCTGTGCACCTCAGCTAAAAGCCATCTGGTGAGGGACCCCCAGGTGGTGGTGCTGAACACACGGGGACTGGGTGTGGCTTCAGCAGTGCATGTGTGAGGGTCTCCTGCTAGGGAAAGCAAGGGCATGTGCAGGGACAGGAGCATCGCTGCTACCCCAGGCAGAGCCAATTCCAGAGCTCCAGCTGGTACTTGAGAGCCTGGTCCCAAGGGTCCAAACGTTGCCTCTGCCCACCCATTCACTATACCTAGAGTACTTGGCCAACCTTTCTGGCCCTCCCAGAGCCTCAGTTTCCCAATATGGAATACTGGTTTCTGTGGTAAAGCCTGACTGTGTCAGACAGCACAGACCAAAAACTCCTACAGCAGGGGAAGACATGGGAGAATGGAGGTAGGAGGTGAGGCCTAGCTTCTCGCTGCTACCGCAGCCTGCACCTGAGGCGGAGCCACACCCTGCACGAGGTCACTGCCGAGACATGGTTTTCTTCAGGCTTATACTCATTATACATGACACAAACTCCCACTAGACTACCAGAGACCAAAACCATCCACCATCAAGACTAAGCGACATCAGAACACAGGGACATCTTGTCGCCAAAGGATCCCATCCCCAAGCATTGTCACAGCACAGGAAGCAAAGATAGAGCCTGGGCAGGAGCCAATGAATAGAGTATGGCTGTGTAGATAGCATAGGTCGAAGTGCATTTGGTGTACAGATCTGACCAAGATACAACGACGGGGTGGGGAGAAGGGGGGAAGGGAGGAGCCATCACAAAGATTAGGTGTGGACACTGCTTAGCTCCTCGGGTAGGACGGCTCTACATAAGCCCTGTGTGAGCGGTCGGAGCCTCAGGAACCTTGTATGTTGTGCAGGGGCCTCTCCCAAGATGCCAAACCCCATTAGACCCGGGAATCAAGAGAAAACTCAGCCATTTCTGACAAAGACTGCAGCTGGGGAGGTATCTCCTAGTCACAGCTGAGGGACGAGGACTCACACAGGAGGGGCCATGCCGCCATGGTAGTCAGTCCTTCTCCGCACGGAGCACTGGAAAGAGCCGTTCCCAGAGCATGCTGGCACTTTGCCTGGCAGAGAAAAGCGGTTGAGGCATAGGTCTTTATGAGTGTGTGCAGAAGCCTTGGAGCCATCATCTGAGTCATACTTGGCTGGGCAGTGCAGATGACCATGGTGGCTGCAGGTGTCATAGCAGGCCTATCTCAACCCCAGAAGTTACCACAGAGGGTCATGGACCCTGTTCCCCCATGCTGGATGTGGTGAGCTCTTGCAGACCAGCTTGAGGGTTCTGGAGTGGTGGGGGTGGTGGGCCACAGCAATCGGGGGTGGGGAATGCTGTTGGGATCCCTGGTTAAATGACTGATTTATAGGGGATATAAAAGGCAGGCAACCCCTCCCAGGACATCAGCAAGGCTATCCAGCGGCTCTATAGTAGGCCTGTGGAAATGCTCTAGACTAGACAGGGGCCAGCCTTCAGGTCAGAACGAGTGTTCTCTTGTCCCTTGGAACGCCTGTCCAACAGACACTACTTGCTCAGCTTCTTGCTTTGGCCTAAAAAAAAAAATGTGTGTGTGTGTGTGGGGCTCATATTTCCTTGGATAGGCTGGAAGCCAGCAAGCCCCAGTGGTCCCCATCTCTATCTGCCACACTCTTGAGTTGGAGCTGGAGGAGAGTGCCGGATGCTCTAAACTCATCATGATGGCATAGTAAGCATTCTCAAGCACAGAGCCATCTCTTCAGAGCCCCCAATCAACCTACTGGGCTTTTGACTTGCTGTGGAGCCTACTTAGCAGCCTCAGAGAGGCTCAGAGTGTTTTCCTCCATTTACGGGGCTCATGGGGATGGCCCCCTGAATAATATGATTGAGTGGGTCTAATGTTGCAGGCTAGCCTACCTATCGTGCCAGACAACAATGACCTAGACCCAGAGCAGACCTCCCTCATCTCCCTTGGTGAGGACAGTCACCAGAAGCTAGTGTTTTGCGGTGTCATGTTTGCGGAAGTCACATTTCTGTATCATTAACATATCTACAAGAATGTGGCCCCAAGTCCCTGCTCACGTTTCTACTCCTGGAAAAGTGCCCTCAATACCCGCATGGAGACCTGTGGAAAATGCCGCGTCGACAGACAGCAGTTACTTGATACCTGAGTCTGGTTGCTACCGTGTGTGACCCTGGCGAGAAAGGAGCTCCAGGGAACGGGGCGCTTATCTACACCCTGCCTGTTCACAAGGCAGAGGCTGGGAATTCCATTCTGAAAAGTCAATGCTGCCTTACTCTTTAATGACAGGGACCACGGATGAAATGTAGTTTGATCTCAGTAGTTTATTCTGGAGACAAAGCAGTGTGAGAGCTGGCCACACTTCCCACCCCCTGGATTCAGGGGCAGACCTGGGAAGGTGACATACAGACATCATCAGGTTCAACACTCGGGTCCTGTAAACGTGGTTAGTCCTGGGGTTCTGTTTCCAAGAAAGCCAACTAACCCCTCCTTGCCCAAAGGATGCCTCACCACGGCCCTACTTAGGAGCCTTCCCAGGGTTTCTGGATGCCTTCTCTAGTGTCCTCCATCTTCCTGGAACTAAGGGCCTAGTTCTCTTAGCAAAGTGAGCTGATATCTTAAGACACAAGATCACCGTTGGGGGTCCTGGGCTGTTCATCCAGGGCTCCACAGGTGTCCTTCCCTGTGGGCTCTGGGCCAGTGGGTGGTCTGCCAGCTGCTGTGAGGACAGAGAAGGGCGCAGCTCCCTTGGGGGCTTGCTAGTACTTGGTGCAAGGGACTTGGTATGAGCACAGCGGGGCTGCACTGGCCTTGCTGTACCGGGAGGGTCTGGTGTGTGTGCAGGAGCAGCTCTATCGCAGCCTCCTCTCACCTGAAAAGAGGGGCCCAGATAATGGCACGGAGAAGCAGGCATCCTTGTGAGCTAGAACACTAGGTCAGCTCTTCATTTCTCTCTCAGGAGCCACCCTAAAGAGATGGGGAGGTGGAGGCCTGAAGACTCGTGGAATGATTTGTTCAAAGTCCCAGCACAAATCCTGGATCCCGATAGACTCCTAGTCAGGTGGCCTCCCTCTTGGGTCCCAGTGAGCAACAGAGATAGGGTGGTGAGCACAGTGGCCTGGTGTATTCCATGTAGCCAGTGAAGACTGGCAATAGCTAGGGGGGCTTTGGCCCCACCCACTAGAAGCTTCTTTCCTCTTCCTACAACCCAAACCCCCAGTACAGAGCTCCCAAGGGGTCAGCTGCTTCCCTGGCTTTGGAGAAGAAGGGTCAGCTGTACAGGGGCAAGGATTAGCTCTGGAGGAGACCACATCTGGGAAAAGAGGACGGTGAGGTCTGGGTGTGGGCAGATGTGGAGATGGGAGGAATGGAAAAACATTCGTCCTTTCGCCTGCTGAGCTTCAACAGCCTGGCCAGACGTGGGCCTCCTTCCAGGGTGCCTGGAAGCCTGGCCCACAGCAGCCACGAAGACACACACACACACGCGAGCGCACACACACACACACACACACACACACACACGCACACACCCCACTTCACATTCGGACCTAGTGTTGAGAACACAAGCGTGTGTAAACTCAGTGAGGAGATCTGCACAGCAGGAGTCAGGCGGCATCCTTGAGGCTGGACCACTCGGTGTTCTGCTCCGTCTCCCTCCCCCCCTCATTCCGATCATAACATCAGAAAATCAGGTATAAAATTAGAACAGAGAAGCATCAGATCACCGGGAATTCTTAGTAGTGTTCCCGTTTGGAGCTGCTGGCCCAGCGGGTGTGTTCCACGCTCTGCGCCGCCCCTCTGGGTCCTGGGCTCTGTGGCTACTGTGAGGAGGCCTTGGTGGCCAGGGAGGCCACACAGTGCTGCTGGAAGCTGGGTGACACACCAGTGGTGCAGCCAAGTCTCTGGTGCGGCAGCTTGGCCGAGCCACCGGCGCCGACGTTGCCTGCTTCGGCCTCAGTCTTCCAGGGTGTGTCCTGGCCCTTCATGCTGCTGCAGCAGCCAGGGCTGGCACTGCACGTCCGCTCACCAGCCAGGCTGCCCGCCTGTTCCGCCAGGAGCCTGCTGTGCCTCAGCGGGACCACTTCCTCCGTGGCAGCTCCGCCTGTGCTCTGGCCTTGCAGGACGGTGGCAATGTGGTT